TGTCAGTTTGATTACTGTGTGACTCCATGTGTTCCTTCTTGGGTTTTTACTGCCTGGGACTCTGTACTTCCTGGACTTTGGTGACTGTTTCCTTTCCTGTGTTAGGGAAGTTTTCATCTATTATCTCTTCAAATATTTTCTCAGGTCCTTTCTCTTTTCTCTTCTCCTTCTAGGACCCTTATAATGTGAAAGTTGGTGCATTTAATGTTGTCTCAGAGGTCTCTTAGACTGTCTTCTTTTCATTTTCGTTTTCTTTATTCTGTTCTGTGGCAGTGATTTCCACCATTCTGTCTTCCAGGTCAGTTATCCATTCTTCTGCCTCAGTTATTCTGCTATTGATTCCTTCTAGTGTTTTTTTTCGTTTCAGTTATGTATTGTTCATGTCTATTTGTCTGTTCTTCAGTTTTTCTAGGTCTTTATTAAACATTTCCTGCATCTTCTCAATCCTTGCCTCCATTCTTTTTCCAAGATCTTGGATCATCTTCACTATCATTCTGAATTCTTTTTCCTGTAGGTTGGCTATCACCATTTCACTTAGTTGTTCTTCTGCGGGTTTCATCTTGTTCCATCATCTGGGACCTAATCCTCTGCCATCTCCTTTTGTCTAACTTTCTGTGATTGCTGTTTCCTTTCCACAGGCTGCAGGATGGTAGTTCTTGCTTCTGCTATCTGCCCTCTGATGGATGAGGCTGTCTAAGAGGCTTTTGCAGGCTTCCTGGTGGGAGGGGCTGGTTCCTGCCCAGTGGTGGGTGGAGCTGGGTCTTGTCCCTCTGGTGGGCAGGGCTGTGCTCAGGGAGACTTTTCAGCCACTTGTCTGCTGATGGGTGGGGCTGTGTTCCTGCCCTGTTGGTTGTTTGGCCTGAGGTAACCCCAGCACTGGAGCCTACAGGCTGTAGGGTAGGGCTAATGGCAACCTCCAGGAGGGCTCACACCAATGCATACTCCCCGGATCTGCTGCTGCCAGTGTCTTTGTCCCTGCCATGAGCCACAGCCACCTGCCACCTCCGCAGGAGATCCTCCAGTACTAGGCAGGTAGGTCTGGCCCTGTCTCATATGCGGTCACTGCTTTTTTCCCCTGGGTCCTGGTGAGCACGAGACTTTTTGTGTACTCTGCAAGAATAGAGCTTCTGTTTCCCCCAGTCCTGTGGAAGTCCTGCGACCAAACCCCGCTGGCCTTCAAAGCCAGATTCCCTGGGGACTCCTCTTCCTGTTGCCAGACCACCAGGTTGGGCAGGCTGACATGGGGCTCAGAACTTTCACTTCTGTGGGATAACTTTTGTGGTATAATTGTTTTCCAGTTTTTGGGTTGCCCAGCCAGTGGGTATGGGATTTGATTTTATTGTGATTGCACCCCTCATACTATCTTGTTGTGGCTTTTTGTCTTTGGTTGTAGGGTATTTTTTTGGTAGGTTCCAGCATTTTTTTGTCAATGGTTGTTCAGCAGTTAATTGTTATTTTGGTGTTTTTGTAAGAAGGGGGTGATCTCACATCCTTCTACTCTGCCATCTAGAGCTAATCTCTTCTGTTATAAACTTCCAACGCAGAACTACTTTTGCTGCAGTGTGTAGATAGTGGATTCTTGTGTTTTCATTTTCATTTGTCTCCAGGTATTTTTAAAATTTCTTTATTTCTTCAGGGATTTGTTGGGTTGTTTATTAGCATAGTTTAGCCTCCACTTGTTTGTGGTTTTTGCTATTTTTTCATTGTAGTTGATTTTTAGTCTCAAAGGGTTGTGGTTGGAAAAGATGCTTGACATGATTTTAATTGGCTTAAATTTACTGAGATTTGTTTTGTGGCCTAGCGTGTGCTCTTTATCCTGGAGAATGTTCCCTGTGCAGTTGGAAAAAAAATGCATATTCTCCTTTTGTGTGGAATGTCCTATATATATTAAGTCCATTTGGTCTAATGTGTTGTTTAAGACCAGTGTTTCCTTGTTGATATTCTGTTTGGGTGATCTGTTCATTGATGTTAAGTGGGATGTTAAAGTCCCCTAGTATTGTTGTGTTACTGTGAATTTCTCTCTTTACATCTTTTAAAATTTGCTTTATGTATTTAGGTGCTCCTATGTTGAGTGTGTATATATATATATATATATATATATATATATATATATATATATATATATTTTTTATGTTTTTTTTATATATTTTGCTCTATATATATATATATATATATATATATACAATTGTTATGTCTTTTTCTTAGATTGATCCCGTAATCATATGTAATGTTCTTCATTGTCCCCTGTTACAGTCTTTGTTTTAAAGTCTGTTTTGTCTGGTATAAATATTGCTATCCCTGTTTTCTTTTCATTTCCATTTGCATGGAGTACCTTCTTCCATCCTGTCATTATCAGTCTGTGTGTGTGTTTGGATCTGAAGTGAGCCTCTTGTAGGCAGCGTATATATGGGTATTTTTTTTTTTGTATCCATTCAGCTACTCTATGTCTTTTGGTTGGAGTGTTTAGTCCATTTACATTTATAGATATGTACTTATTGACATTTCTTAATTGTTTGGGGGGTTGTTTGTAGTTTCTTTTGTTCTCATGTCATTTGATGACTATTTTCAGTGTTATATTTGGGTTCTTTTTCTTTTTTGTGTATTTATTATAGATTTTTGGTTTGTGGTTACCATGAGGTTTATATATAGCCATATATATGTGTGTGTATATATATGTGGTTAAGTTGGTGATCTCTTAAGTTCAAATGCATTTTAACAACCCTGCATTTTTACCCCTCCCCCCGATATTTACCATTTTTGCCATGTTTTACTTCTTTTTGGTTTGTGTATCCCTTTTCTTCTTATTGTGGATATAGATGATTTTATTACTTTTGTCTTTCAACCTTCCTAATAGCTTTATACTTGGTTTTCTGTTGGGCAGAGCCATGTTCCAGGGTCCCTGGCTATAGGGCCCTGTGGGGTCCTGGAGCTGGTATTGGCCCGCAGATGGGTGGGGCTGGTTCCTTATACAGCTGTTGGCATGGTCCTGGCAGTCCTGGAGCTTGTGTTGGACCACTGGTTGGTGGGACGGGATCCCAGGTTGGCTGCCTAAATTGGCTTAAGGTGTAGCAGATCTGGTTTTGGCCTGCTGGTGGATGGTGCCAGGGCCCAGGGGGTCCTGGGGCTGGTGCCATCCTGCTAGTGGGTGGGTTGGGTCCTGACAAGCCAGGCTGCAGGGCTGTGGTGGTCCTAGGGCTGATGTCTGCCCGCTGGCAGGTGGGGCTGGGGCTCAGGGGATACAGGGGCTGGTGCCCACCAACCAGTTGGTGAAACCAGGTTCTGGGACTAGTGCCAACTCACTGGTGAGCGGAGCTAGGTCCTGGGGTCTCTGACTACAGGGCCCTGGGGGTCCTAGAGTTGTTTGTCAGCTTGCTGGTGGGCGGGTTCAGGTCCCAGGGGGTTCTGAAGCCAGTGCCTGCCCACTCGTGGTTGGAGCCAGGTTCTGAGTTATCTGGCTGCAGGGTCCTGGGGATTCCAGGACTAGTGCTGGTGCCCTGGTGTGTGGGTCTTGGTCCTAGGCCCTCTGGTGAACAGGGGCATATCCTGGAGTGGCTGTGGTCACAGGGGGTTTTAAGGCAGATGGCCTGCTGGTGAGTGGGGCTGTGTCCCAGCTGGGCTAATTGCTTGGCTTGACCTGTTGTGTCCCAATACTGGTGCCCATAGGCTGGTGGGCAAGGCCAGGTTCTGGTGCTGATAAGTTAGAGGGAGAATTCCAAAACAGTGCTTGCCAGCACCAGTGTCTTTGCGGTGGTAGAAGCAGCTCCCAAAATGGCTGCCGCAAGTGTCTGTGTCCCCAGGGTCAGCTCCAGTTTCCTCCTGCCTCTCTGGGAGGCTCTCCAAGATTAGCAGGTGTGTCTGACCCAAGCTTCTTTAAAATTATTGCTTCTGCCCTGGGTCCCGGAGTGTGTGAGGTTTTGTGTGTGCCCTTTAAGAGTGGAGTCTTTATTTCTCACAGCCCTCCAGCTCTCCTGAAAGTGAGCCCTGCTGGCCTACAAATACAAAGGTTCTGGGGGCTTGTCTTCCTGGACAAGGTCCTTCCTGGTGTAGGACCCCTGGGCTGGGGAGCCCAGTGTGGGACTTGGGCCCCCTTGCTTCTTGGGGAGAATCTCTACAGTTGTAATTATCCTCCTGTTTGTGGGTCGCCCACGTGGGGGTAAGGTTCTTGACTATACTGCGTTTCCACCTTTCCTATCAGGCTTGTTGTGGTTCCTTCTTTGTATTTTTAGTTGTAGAAGATCTTTTCTGCTGGTTTCTAGTCTTTCTCATCAGTAGTTCCTCTGTAAATAGTTGTAATTTTGGTGCGCCCAAGGGAGGAAGCAAGCTCAGGGTCTTCTTACTCCACCATCTTGACCACACCCATTTCATTTCTTTCGTCATTGTTTTGTAGTTGTCAGCATACAGATCTCACAATTTTTTTGTTAGATTGATGTGTAAATATTTAATTTTTGGGAGCTAAGTGGTATAATTTATTTTTAATTGTTGTTAGTATAGAGATATTAAATTGATTTTTGTATGTTGACCTTATACTGTGTTATCTTGGTAAACTTACTTAATAGTTTTATGGTACAGCCAGTTATTTTTAAGAAATTACAAACTGGGAATAGTTTTACAAGTTCATTTTTGCTGTTTTAGATGAAATGTCAAATCTTAAATCTTGAATGAGATGAATTTTTCTTTTCCGCACTTTTTCTTTAGCAGTGTACATATAATATATACTTATTAGCTTTGTTAGTAGTTAAATATTTGTATGGCCTGGTGATGGAAGCATCAACCAAAAAAGCCTGATTTCAAAGAGGGAGCCTAGTTTGTCTCTTCTTCTGTAATTAAATAATAGTAACACTGGCTAGTTTTATGAAAAATTCTATTTGCAACAGTAAAATCTTGATTTTTTTTAACAGGAAGAAGTACTATTGGGATAGTTAATTTTGTGTTTTTCATATGGCATATTTTTTAGCTATGAATAATTGTTCTATTTCTTCTCTTTTTCTCTTTCTTCTCAGGTATTGGGAGAGTTGCTGCTACATCTTTAGGAAATTTAACTAACCATGGTTCTGAAGATTTACCCCTTCCTCCTGGCTGGTCTGTGGACTGGACAATGAGAGGGAGGAAATATTACATAGATCACAACACAAATACAACTCATTGGAGCCATCCTCTTGAGCGAGAAGGACTTCCTCCAGGATGGGAGCGAGTTGAGTCATCAGAATTTGGAACCTATTATGTAGATCACACAAATAAAAAGGCTCAATATAGGCATCCCTGTGCTCCCAGGTAGACTATCAACTTTATCTTAACTCTTTGTTTTGGGATTGTCTAATGTTAGATTTTGAACTCATATTTTCATCAAAGAGAAAGATGTCCTGAAGTTTGATTTGAAAACTTTATTTTTCACAGCTTATGAGATTTTTTCCTCTGGACTTATATTTAGTAATGAATGACTTTAATAATTAAAAAACAACTTTTTAAACAAACCTCAAAAACAGGATCAATATTCTTATGATCAGATTCTGCTTTAATATGCCAGAATGCTTTTGTTAAAGATACCCAGAAATTAAATAAATAGAATATCTGCCACTTTACATTTAAATTTCTATAAAAAATACACATCTACCTTCTAATGTGTCAGAATATATTTTGAATTATGTTTTGCTGATTTTATTCAATTTACAGATATTTTATGTTTTTTAACTGTTGCCATGCAAGAAAGTGAAAATTATCTATTTTATTTATTTATTTTTGGCTGCAGTGGGTCTTCGTTGCTGTGCGTGGGCTTCCTCTATTTGCAGTGAGCAGGGGCTACTCTTCATTGCACTGTGCAGGCTTCTCATTGTGGTGGCTTCTCTTGTTGTGGCGCACAGGCTTAGTTGCTCCATGGCATGTGGGATCTTCCCGGACCAGGGCTCGAATCCATGTCCCCTGCATTGGCAGGCGGACTCTTAACCACTGCAACACCAGTGAAGTCCCTACATTTTAATATTATCACCCAGAAAACTAAGCTTTGTCATTATTGTGCTGTTTTAATCATTTTACATATTTGGATTTTTAATTCAAGTTTGAAAAGTTTTTCTCCAGTGATTCCATTTAGTGGCACTCAGTGTTTATTGAGCAAGTGAGGTTGTCATCCCTTCAAAAGAACCAAGTCAGCCTCTCTGTCTGTGTTGGGCTCTGGCCCCTTTGCCTGCTCTCCTTACCATCTCAGGCAAGCTGCTGCTCTCCCTGGCTTCAATTTGCCGGCCTGTGACACAGGGGTAATTTGTAGCCTCCCTCCCACCTGATCACAACCCTTACCCAAGTGCAGGGATGAGTTCCACGTAGTTCCTCTGTAAATAGTTGTAATTTTGGTGCGCCCAAGGGAGGAAGCAAGCTCAGGGTCTTCTTACTCCACCATCTTGACCACACCCATTTCATTTCTTTCGTCATTGTTTTGTAGTTGTCAGCATACAGATCTCACAATTTTTTTGTTAGATTGATGTGTAAATATTTAATTTTTGGGAGCTAAGTGGTATAATTTATTTTTAATTGTTGTTAGTATAGAGATATTAAATTGATTTTTGTATGTTGACCTTATACTGTGTTATCTTGGTAAACTTACTTAATAGTTTTATGGTACAGCCAGTTATTTTTAAGAAATTACAAACTGGGAATAGTTTTACAAGTTCATTTTTGCTGTTTTAGATGAAATGTCAAATCTTAAATCTTGAATGAGATGAATTTTTCTTTTCCGCACTTTTTCTTTAGCAGTGTACATATAATATATACTTATTAGCTTTGTTAGTAGTTAAATATTTGTATGGCCTGGTGATGGAAGCATCAACCAAAAAAGCCTGATTTCAAAGAGGGAGCCTAGTTTGTCTCTTCTTCTGTAATTAAATAATAGTAACACTGGCTAGTTTTATGAAAAATTCTATTTGCAACAGTAAAATCTTGATTTTTTTTAACAGGAAGAAGTACTATTGGGATAGTTAATTTTGTGTTTTTCATATGGCATATTTTTTAGCTATGAATAATTGTTCTATTTCTTCTCTTTTTCTCTTTCTTCTCAGGTATTGGGAGAGTTGCTGCTACATCTTTAGGAAATTTAACTAACCATGGTTCTGAAGATTTACCCCTTCCTCCTGGCTGGTCTGTGGACTGGACAATGAGAGGGAGGAAATATTACATAGATCACAACACAAATACAACTCATTGGAGCCATCCTCTTGAGCGAGAAGGACTTCCTCCAGGATGGGAGCGAGTTGAGTCATCAGAATTTGGAACCTATTATGTAGATCACACAAATAAAAAGGCTCAATATAGGCATCCCTGTGCTCCCAGGTAGACTATCAACTTTATCTTAACTCTTTGTTTTGGGATTGTCTAATGTTAGATTTTGAACTCATATTTTCATCAAAGAGAAAGATGTCCTGAAGTTTGATTTGAAAACTTTATTTTTCACAGCTTATGAGATTTTTTCCTCTGGACTTATATTTAGTAATGAATGACTTTAATAATTAAAAAACAACTTTTTAAACAAACCTCAAAAACAGGATCAATATTCTTATGATCAGATTCTGCTTTAATATGCCAGAATGCTTTTGTTAAAGATACCCAGAAATTAAATAAATAGAATATCTGCCACTTTACATTTAAATTTCTATAAAAAATACACATCTACCTTCTAATGTGTCAGAATATATTTTGAATTATGTTTTGCTGATTTTATTCAATTTACAGATATTTTATGTTTTTTAACTGTTGCCATGCAAGAAAGTGAAAATTATCTATTTTATTTATTTATTTTTGGCTGCAGTGGGTCTTCGTTGCTGTGCGTGGGCTTCCTCTATTTGCAGTGAGCAGGGGCTACTCTTCATTGCACTGTGCAGGCTTCTCATTGTGGTGGCTTCTCTTGTTGTGGCGCACAGGCTTAGTTGCTCCATGGCATGTGGGATCTTCCCGGACCAGGGCTCGAATCCATGTCCCCTGCATTGGCAGGCGGACTCTTAACCACTGCAACACCAGTGAAGTCCCTACATTTTAATATTATCACCCAGAAAACTAAGCTTTGTCATTATTGTGCTGTTTTAATCATTTTACATATTTGGATTTTTAATTCAAGTTTGAAAAGTTTTTCTCCAGTGATTCCATTTAGTGGCACTCAGTGTTTATTGAGCAAGTGAGGTTGTCATCCCTTCAAAAGAACCAAGTCAGCCTCTCTGTCTGTGTTGGGCTCTGGCCCCTTTGCCTGCTCTCCTTACCATCTCAGGCAAGCTGCTGCTCTCCCTGGCTTCAATTTGCCGGCCTGTGACACAGGGGTAATTTGTAGCCTCCCTCCCACCTGATCACAACCCTTACCCAAGTGCAGGGATGAGTTCCACGT